TTTTTTATTGGACCCCAGTTTCTTGATAACAAAAATGGAAGAGTGTGTGGTGAATGAAGTAGGAAAATGCAGTTAGAAAGCATTGGCCCCTTTGTGATGCAGATTTCCTTCTTGAGGTGCGCAGTTAAACTGGATCATTGGCTGTGATCGTAAGCAACAAAATGTAATTCATGAAGAGAAATCATAGTTACCAACAGAAAAACAACTCATATTTAACCCATGGAAGTTATAATTAGCCAACAGAAGGCATTGGTAACTGTAAAACTCATTGTTTTTAACATGTATTATGTTTTCTTAGAATGATAGATTTACAGAAAAAAGGAAAGAAAGATCTTCCATCCATTGGTTCACTCCCCAGGTGGCTACAGTAGCTGCAAGTGGCTGAAGCCAGCATCCAGGAACTTTTTCCATGTTTCATGTGGGTGCAGGTTCCAAGGCTTTGGGTCACCCTCCACTGCTTTGCCAGGTCATAGGCAGGGAACTGGATGGGAAATGGAGTAGCCGGGTTATGAACTGTGCCCACGTGGGATCCTGGTACATATAAGGCAAGGATTTAGCCACTAGGGCATTGCACTGGGCCCAAACTACAAAATTCATTTTTAATCTGAACAAGTCAATGTTAAACAAGAAAAGTCCAAATTTAGTAACTTGATTATAACTCAGTGAATCTTCGATAAACTTTAGCAAAAGCTGGTTGTTCTACATCATAAAAAAGGCAGTATCATCCTCAAGGAATGAATTTAATTTTGAGGAACATTTTAGAGGACTAAGGTATAACAAATATAGGATTATGCCTCTGGCTCTGAGTTCAACTGAGACTTCATCATTTCAATAATTCGGTCTGATTATTTATTAGGTATCCACTTTGCATCCCAACCCTGGGAACACAGCTGGTATATAACAATAAAAATCTTTAGCAATTGAGAAATTGAAATACTTTCGTACCAGTTGTTGAAAAATCACTTTCTTGGTGTTTGTGGGTTTTCTGTTTTGTTTTTTGGCCTCCTGCTATATATGTCTGTTTTCTTGGTTGTGGAAAAGTTGATGTGGTTACTTCCTAGAGGTTGCCTTGGGTCCTTCCAGCTTATCTGCTCCCATGTTGGGGATCTGGGCTCTGGGTCCATCTTTCCCCCTTTTTCAGAAGTTGTGCATGCTATCAAGAAAGACAGCTCTGTGATACCCTGAAAAGAAATGGGTGCTGCCCACTGGGCTCCCTGAATTATGACCTTTGTCTGTATATGGTCGTTTTCCCATGTTGGCATTGTTCTAGGCAGACAGGACTATTGCTGAATACTTTATTATCCTTGACTAATTGTAACAGAGGAATAGAAGAAAACACCAAGGTTGCCTACAAGAGGAAGCACTTGTTTGCACTTAGATGAGGTGGTGAAGGTTTCTTAGGTGGGGTAACCCCATGCAAGTTGCCTAGGTTGACTGGGAAAAGGAAGTTTCAATAAAGTCAGAGTAGAATTGTGGTATCAGTGTCCTAGACTTGGTGTCTGAAAACTGCATCCTGAAGCTTCTACCACCAGCACTTGAGGCTGAATGCTAGCATTCCAACTTTAAGTGAGCAGCAGATACCGAGCCAGGGAGCCTTCATGGAAGAAATGGAATAATTCACTTCTTAGATACGTGTGGACAACCTCTCACGGCCGTTCTTTAAACCTCAGGTTCATCTCTAGCCATTATTGTTCTTGCCTTTGCTGGTGGATAGTTTTTATTTCTTTAGTCTTCAAACCTGACCTCTTCCCTGGGCCATTTGTTTGGTCCACAGAAACTACTTCATCTGCAGCCATCCTAATGCATCACTCCCTGGTATCAGGACACACGTGGGATCCCAGAATTTACAGAAGTGGGAGAGCTTAACCTCTAGGATGTGCCTCACTCGAGGCCTCACCATGGTAAGGAGCAGGTGGACGCTTGGGGCTCATCTCCAAGTTCAGGATTCTCTCCCATCAGGTTGTTCCTACAGATGGGTCCAAATCCTTCCATTTTACAGGCTCAACTTTTCAGTCTTGCCTCCTCCAGGGTATATCCACCCACCTGTTGGCTTCCCATGAACTTGGTCGTTCTCAAGCACATTTTTATATAGACCAAGTTTTGGGTGACAGTTTTCCTTTCCCAAGACTTGAGGTTCCTAATTCTAAGTGGAATGAACCTCTGGCTTTGAATCACATTAAATCCCGTGGTAAGACACTTGTTCATTCTCTCCGAGCTCCTCAGTCTCAAGTCGGAGTGTCCATACTGCTTGCTCAGCTGGGAATAACCTCAGCAGGTATAAGGAGGTCCATGGCCCCGCGCCTTGAGCAGATCCAGTGAGGGTGAAATAACATCTGATTATTTGTTTTATGAGTGCCTTCCAGTGTTGACAGTGGTACTCATTTTCTAATTGAGTCACAGAGGAAAGGTTTCTATTTTAAAGATGGTTTAAAAAAAAGAGTTGGGCTAAATGAGAATATTGAGTAAATCAAACTAGAGGCTATAGGAATGAGTTCTGTCTTCCCCCACCCTCCCCACCCACTTGCTCCTCAAAGCAGTGATCTACAAAAGGGAACAAGGTTTATATAACGTTTCAAAACAGCTACTGAGTGGAAAGAGAATTTGTGTGATGCAAACTTCTGTTTGGTTTACCCAACCCATGTATAAAAATACCACATAGCATATATTTTAGTCAGCAAGTATTCTACCATGAACCTTAGACCTTCTCCTGAAATCCATCCAGAGATCTGATTTGGAAAACCAAGAAGTCCTATTTAGTTTCTGCCATCAGTGTTACTGAACCATACTGACAAGGTCATTAGTGAGATAGAAAGTTCTTTAGTTCCCCCTCTTTCATTTGGGAGTCATGAGTTTGTTTCTTTTCCTCCCTGGTCACTTCCTAAGAATTTGCTCAACTAGAATATATGATTTTTAATAAACAGAGGAACTCACCTGTGTGCATACTTTCCTTACATATGGAAGAAACCATGCCTTCCACCGTGACACTGTTTCTTGGCAGGAGAGCTGTGGAAGTTGCCGGAAATGGAATTTGTACATCTGGCAAGAAGCACAGCCTGTAGATATTTTTTGGTAGGAAAGGTATGTTTTGAAGTGGTCATTCTGCACAGATTCTGTTTAGGGCTTTGGAGTATGTAGAACTTGTTATTTTTAGATTTTGAGCATGTTTGTAGTTCCAGAGGTATAAAAATAAATTGTGTTTTTTTTTTTAAATGCATGTGTCTGGGGTATGAGACGAGTGGCCACCTTGAAGTTTCTAGGTGCTTACAATTGAACTGTGCCGGTAAAAGTATGTTTTTTAAACACTGAAATCTTAGGGTGCCCACGTAAATATACTTAGTATACCACGTGTGCTACGTTCTGCGCTTCAGTTCTAAATGTTTGAGTTCTGTCTCCAGTAGTGTGAATGTATTTCAGGGAACTTGAACTTAGATGGTTGGGTCGTATTTTCTGTTGAGCACACTCAGCGGTGTGTTTCTTCCACTTGAGAAAATTGTTTCTTGTGTAACCGCTAAGTTGCATCACTACCGACTTGGTGAAACTCCTTCCCTGTAACACTCAGAGCTTTGCAGAGGTTTTTGCTGAGCAATTACTCGCCAGTGAAGCCACTGGGTATACCCTAGACTGCATATCGCTTGTTCGTCTCTATCTTCAGCAAGCTCCATTATCTGCCATGCTGCTTGGTCGAGATGGGAGAAACTAAGAGAAGGCCGAAGCTCTTGATCATTGAACTCCAAGTCTGTATTGTATCAGCAGTTCACAAAATCAGAATACATTACTTCCTGTATAAAAATATGATTTGCCAACAGCTGAAAAACAAAAGCTAACTGAAATAGTAAGCACATGTGGGAAATTTTTAACTGTAATGAGGAGAACAGTTGGTTGACAAAGCTGGTGCCAAGGATATGAGAAAAATGGGGAGGAGGGAAGGAAGGAAGGAAGCAGGCAAGGAAAAGAGAAGCTGGTGGAAGGGAAAAAGAATGCTGGGGTAAGACTGCAAAATTAGATACAAGACTGATTAACATCCTACTGGGCAATTAAGCAGTATCTTCTGGTTTCCTTTGCATCTGGGCAGAAATACCTTGTACCCACAATAAACTAATTCGTGATGAGCATTCTTCTCCAGGCTTCGCAAGCTCAAGGTCCCATCAGTCATGAATACTAAATCAAACCAGACTGCCTGTCATTTACCTGCCTGAGGGTGTCACATGGCTGTGGTGGACCTAGCAGTGCTTGCTGTAGTACAGGGCTTCCCAGCAGAACTTTCTATTGCCTGACAGTCCACTGCGTGCATTGTGTCCGATGTGCTAACCACTGGTCATGTGCGGCTCCTGACCATTTGAAACATGGCTAATGCTGTTGAGGAAGTGCATTTTTAGTTTTATCTCATTTTAAGAATTGATTTTGATCCACATAGCTACCAGGCCCCCATGGTAGAATACACAACACTAAGGAGCCCCTGAAGCAGCAGGCAGGCCCGTGTGGACCTTGTGTGTAACTCGGGATACTGTTTCCCCTACGTACTTCGTCATTGGAATCATACTTTCAGGATCACGATGGGAGCTAAGTGCGTAAACACACACAGAGGAGACTCCTTTGAAAAGACATAATCCTTGCAGGGATAAAAGAATGTCTTTTGCAAGTGTGAAACTTCCAGTCATGGGCCTCGTGGTGGTGGTGGGTTTACTTGGAATCACAGTGCAGCCAGGGAAGCAGTTAAGAGGCTGAGCCTGTTGTGATGTTTTCCAAGTGAACCAATGTAGTACTAATTTTCCTTTAGGAAGATGTTCACCATCATGTTTTGCTTGGATTAAAGGAGGCTTTTAGATTAGCAATGAAGGGAGAGCTATTCCTGCTGCCTGAGAATTTTGAGGTTGTAGGAAGGAAACTTCACTTGGTTATTCACAAGGAGCAGTCGACGTATTGATAAGGTCAGCTTGGATTTCACTGGAGGTTGGCCATTTGACTCCATTTTTCTCATCTTCTTGCTTTCTTGCTTGCAGGGGTTTTTCCGCAGAAGTATTCAGAAGAACATGATTTACACTTGTCACCGAGATAAGAACTGTGTTATTAATAAAGTCACCAGGAATCGATGCCAGTACTGCCGACTCCAGAAGTGCTTTGAAGTGGGAATGTCCAAAGAATGTAAGTGGAGTCTCGGGGAGACTTTTGCCTTGTTTGCCTTATCTATAAAGATATTTGCTCAGCCTCCCGAACCAAATCTTGGAAGATGTCAGCATGTGGAATTCAGACATGACACTGATGAGATGTTGCCAGGGGTGGGTGTAAGTGGAGAGAACGTGAAAACAGAACCATTGGAGATATGTATATAATTTTTTTTTTAAATTAACTTGAGTGGCAGTTACTGCAAAGGGTAGACCCTGGATGTCATGGGTTTGCAGCAGATCCTAACTCACTGTGCATTCTGGGGTTGTTGGTAACTCAAGCATTGGTGATTACGCTCCCCACGTTTGCAGTGGGAATAAGTGTGCAGACAGAACTGTGTGACAAGCATGACTGGTAATCGTACGACTCATTAACCCTGTTCCAAGTGAGGTTGGATGGTGTGCATTTAATTGAAGGAGAAGTATTTTGAAACTTGGGATGTCGGCATGTTTCCAAACTTGAATGAACTCTTCTCCAAGTCACATGTTCCAAATAGCAATATGTATTATTGATGCCAAAGAGAATGTTTTACTAAGTTGAAAATTGATTCATGGTCTACAAATACCTAGTCAATGAAATATATGTACCTTCCTAAAGATGATGGACACCACTCACAGAGAAAACTATTGGCATCTCCTCTTGGTGCTTCCAACAGCGGGGGAGAAGCAAGTGGCAGGTGAAGGGTGTGGCTCTGGCTGGTGTAAGGATTTCAGAGCAACAGGTGTCAGCGGAAGCACTTGTAGGACTACTGCTTTTGCTCTCTTCTAACTCTCTTCTACTATGTGTGCAGGAGGCACTGGGTAGGGGCTGCGTGGGGACTTTGAAGAGCCACTGCCCTCTGAGAGTTTGGAACAAGCCATACTCTCACACCCAGCCATGCTCCAACAGTGGTATGGGAAGAGTTAGATTATGCAACAAGAGCTCTGGGGGTTGGAGTTGGAAATGTGGCTGTAGAAAACGGTCTTAGGAGCGCAGGCTACTTCGTCAGGCTCACTGGCCCTGGGCCTGCTCAGCTGAGACTAGCTTGCTTTGTGCCGCTGTTTCTCAGCATCTTCATGCCTGTCAGGAACTCATGCACCTGCTTTTCCAAACCGGACTCGCCTCCCTGCACCTTTCCTAACTGTCTTTAGAATTTAGTTTGCTTTTTTACTTCTGAATTTCCGGGTTGGAATCAACTCGGTTGATTCGACGATTAGTGTGTCCACCTGTTTGCAGTATGAATATGTCACATAGGCCTATCTGATATGTGGGAATCCAACACTCAGACCTAGAATGCTGAGATTGAAGGTCACACTTTCCCCAGTGTGTGACCAAGGCCTCCCCTAGCCATCCTCCAATGACAGGGGTGGTTAGCTGTCAGAACCTGAAATCAAGTCCTTAAAGGCATCACTGAATATGTAAGCACCCCTGGGAAACCACTCGCTCGGGGCATTTTGTTGTTATTGCCAAGAAGTGCTGTTTGTTTTAAAGGTCTTGGAAATTGGGTCCCTGCTCCTGTGTGGGTGCTCATGACAAATGTGACTGAGGACATCACCCAGGGAAGCACCTCGGCCACCATCCTTGCCTGGAGAACCTTTCTCCTCTGAAAGTCCTGTTTGTAGGTGATGAACCATTTGACCACAGTTTACCCAGTTCCATTTGATCTTTCCAACACTTCAGAGTGCTTGCAATGCTTCAAGTAAAATGTAAAAACAAAACAAAAAACAACAAAAAACAAAAAAGTTGGGGTTGAATCAGTTGAGGCCCCAAACCCTGCCATACAGAGAAAAGTATAACAACCTGAATGAGTATGTGGCACTCACAAGATGGTCACCTGTAGGTCCCTTTCAGCCTGATGTTCTGTACCCGTGGCTGTCACACTGTCTTGCTCTGGGAAAGTGTCAGTTAGGGCTGAAATTATAAATGAGTAAGCCAGCTGTGGGCACGGGGAGCATCGGTCCTTTTGCATTTATTTTGTGTGGGCTAGAGACCTGTTTCCTGCTCACATTACTTAAACCCCATATCCTGCTGCTCTGTAAAAACTGGCAGCTCGGGTGGCAATTAAAAAAAATAATGTTTACACCCACAGGAAAGCCGTGGCTTCAGCCCTCAAGAAGCTTATCACCCTAATTAGATTTAAAATATAGAAATGGGAAGAAAATGTGTTCATCCTGTCCAAGGATACAAAAATAAACGTATTTTTTTCTTAGAAGGAAATTGAAGAGGAAGAAACACTTGGTGTGTAAGAATTGGGGGTCTAATAGAATATTTTACAAGTTGAAACAGACGTGAGAAGGCCAATGGGAGAATCAGTAATCAATGATACCACTGTGTATGTATCTGAAATGAACCCAAGAATAATAGATACCTGTTGAGTGTTAGAACTGAAAAGGGATCTTAGAGATTGATTTTCAGTAGCCTCCCTCATCTGAAGGACAGGGATACCAGGACCCGGAAAGATGAAACGGTTTTTCCAGTGAACCCTGGTTTGCCAGAAGGTAGGATGAAAGCTACAGTTCGCGTTGGCCATCTCCCCTTGCTGTGCTTTCCTCTACAGAAGTGAAAGGAGCCAGGCCAGATTTCCCTTCATTTTCAGCCACAGCACTTGTTATTTCATGCGGATGTGTCAGAGCCCTGGATGCCAACTGACCGAAAACTCAGCTCATACTGGGTTTGTGCTGAAAAACTGACACGTGTGATTGGCAAGCCCAGAGCTAAGGGCACCTGCTTATTTTCAAGGCATTGTTTTATTAGCGTTATTATTGTTATTTTACTATGTTGACTTTGCTCTTAGGTAGATTTTGGCTGTAGAGGAGGCTCTAAGATCTCAACTAATGTATCCAAGTTAGGCACGCCATCTCATGGCCTAACTTGGGTGTGTTCCCGTCTTCGGATAGAATATTGTTGCCAGCTGGGTCTGAGTCACCTGTCAGTCCCAAGGGTCTGGCACTAAGCATGACTCCTCTCAGTCACGTAGGCCAGAAATCTAGAAAGAGTTCTTCTCCAGAAGAATGGGAAAGACAAGGGGCCAAAAATGATCTCCTGTCTGCCACGGTAGGTCGTGCCCCGCAGGGCTGTTCCCGGTGTATTCATCTGGAGGATGGGGAAGGGGTGAGAGAACATAAAACCACTGAGGCCTGACAATCACATTACAGTGATAGATAACGAGGTGGGCTCTGTATTTTCTGTGAGTCACTGCCCTAATCCTTCCTGTAGCACCCCATTCCTGTGATCCTCACAACCCATCCGACAAGCTCATCACCAGTTGTCCAGTTTTTGCAGGCGTCAAAGTGGAGAAGCACAGAGGTTAACTAACTTACCCAGAGAAACACAGTCAGCGTCAGGGAACCAGATAGTTAGCTTATAGAGCCTGTGTTCAAACTGGGATATATATACTGCATGCCATAAAAAAACTGTGTGCTTTTTAAAAAAAGACACACAGAGATATAAAGAAAAACAGAGAGGAATATCTTCTGTCCGATGATTCACTCCCCAAGCGGCAATGGTCAGAGCTATGCTAATCTGAAGCCAAGAGCCAGGAGCCTCTTCCAGGTCTCCCACATGTGTGCAGGATCCCAAGGCTTTGGGCCATGCTCAGCTGCTTTCCCAGGCCACAAGCAGGGAGCTGGATGGGAAGTGGGGCTGCTGGGATTAGAACCTGTGTCCATATGGGATTCCAGCATGTGCAAGGCGAGGACTTAAGCTGCTAGGCTACCACGCCAGGCCCAAAACGCTGCTTATAAAACTCAGTCCTTTTTTCCCCCCTATTTTATAGCCAGTGGTTAATAAAACAATAACTACATTCCTTGCTGTATATTAGAGCTGTATTCCCTAGAAAATCATGTGCAAATTTAATTTTTATAGATCATATTTGACTTTAAGCATGTAAGGGGATTTGCTAGTCAAACAAATCCTTTAATGTGGCCTACCAGATTTCTTCATTCTTCTGTTTTGTAAATGTTGCTGAGTGTGCCCTCTGTTTTGCAAAGGCTTTGTTAAAATGAAGTAAGTTTTTTTTTTTTTTAAACACAGGAGTAGCTTTCTCTTGGCCTTGAATTTAAAAGTGGTCATGATAAGTGAAAAAAATCAATTTTCAGCAGCATTCTAAAAGTGTTACAAAAATTTATGAAGAATTGAAACAGCAGCAAAATGGCTTCAAGTTGAGCGATGTGCCTTGCCTGGTGTAGTGGGAGCCTTGTAACCCAGCCACCAAAGGAGAGCATGTGGCACAGCCCTAACATGAAAAAGAGAAACAGTCGATCAAGACGTTACATTTGGGATTGCAAACAATGTCTGAGCAAGCTTATGGTCTAGGTAAACAATTAATTGTCCATGATGAGGAAAGGCAAGAGTTAGGGAAAAGCTACCTGGAAAGCCTGGCTATTTGCATTGAGTCAGTTATGGAAATTCAAACGAGTAGTACAAATCTTTAAGGAATATTTGCAAAAGTATTTTTAGCCCTGTGGACCTCAGGATTTCTATCTTGAATACTCAACTCTGCCATTATGACAAAAAAGCAGCTATAGAAAATATAGAAGCAGAGTTGGTTATGTTCCAATCGAATTTTATTGCCAAAGAAGAAGGGCGCATGGGCAATTGTTGGCCCATTTGTGACTCATGTGGGTTGTCTAATGCCTAGGTACCCACTCTGGCTTCCCTCAAAAGGGCTCACCTCTCACCAACAGACACCCCAGCAGCACTGGAACCCAGTGACCCATGAACTTCACGCCTCCATTTTTCTAAGGCTTCTTACCTCTTCCATCAGCCACTCTCTAGGACCTGTGTAATGCCATTTCCTCTTTGAAACAGTCTCCCCAAACCCCAGCCTACATCCTAGGCCCAGTGCTCCATTCCACGTTCGCATTCCCACAGTGTCTGATGTGTGCCCCCATGAACTGCAGACTTACTATACTCTTAGGTAAGGCTTGATACACCAAGTCTGTGTTGTTTGATGATAAGCCCCCTAAGCATCATGTCACCTTGTAGTGTAGTGTAGTACA